TCTCAGCTTTTACCACTGAGGTTTATGGTTACACAACATCTGTGTTAATGATCTTAGCTTCGTTTCACCACATGCTAAGTGAAACCTAAAATCCAACACCTACAATGAATTGACGGTGAACAATCAAAAGTTCTAGCTTTCACCCAAGTATTAACGAAACTACTATTAGTTATTGGTACCAAGAAATCTCTTTTTAATTTTTGTGCGATCTTTATGAAATTGTCTGACACCAAGGCTTTTCTTCCCATAAGATCCAGTTTATTTTTGTTTTTGAGATTTCTACAAAACTCACCAAGTCACTGAAAACGATCAAACCTACTTGTTTAATAGGCTACAATGGTCTCACAAGTACTTCATCCAACTTTCGGTCTTATGTCAAGTACTGAAGTTCAGTTGAAGCTAAGCCACCCCTTATAGCTTAAATTTGAAAAGATGTCTTTCAATGTTTCTTAATAAACATTTGATCGTATTTCAACGGGAAACCACACAGACACTTCTAAGTCTCTCTTGACTTTGAAGGAAGCGATTCGTGCCCAGGATCCATAGTTTTGTGTCTAAATAGACATCACTTAAATCCCACAAATACTTTGCTTTATTTCTTTTCTATTGGCACACTCTTGCACGAAGATCTTTATGATTTTCCCAATTCTTGTTCGTGGTACTAATGGCAATTTTTCAGATTTCATGCTTCGGTTGCAAATGCTATGGTGGTACACTATGTTAAGGCGCGAACATTGCCAGCCTTATATGAAGTGAAAGGGTTTGACACAGTTTGAAAAGGAATTTGAAAAGTTTTCGAAGTTGAAACGGCGGTAACAAGATAAAATTTCAAATCGAGTTATTGGATAAGATTTGCAACGGGCGCGTGAATTTGAAACGGTTCCTAACATCACGCCAGATGACGTCTTCCTAGGGAAACACAGCTGTCAAATCGCGCTTTTTTTTAGGCGCCGATTCAGAATATCGTCGCATCATTACTGTGGATTCTTTCTCTCTCCTGGAAATGGTATAAAAGGTTTTCTCACACCCCTTGTACCACTTTACCAATTCACAACTCTCTCAAGAACACACCGGCGAATTTCTACTATTCATCTTCTTCTTCACACCTGCAATAATGGCTGAATCTTCTTCTGTTCATGAACAAACTGCCTGGTCCTCTCTTCTCACCATTAAACCAAATCAAAACCTCATCATTGATCTCTCACATTTCCAGTATGATCCCTACATGCTGCAAGTGGTTGAATGCCTCAAATATTCACCACTTCTAGTTGCCCTAACCAAGGTGGAGTATGTTCCTATGTCGCTACTTTCTCAGGTCTACTCAACTATTGTCTACGATAAAGCCAATGAGAGAATTTTCTTTGAGATCTTCAATCAAAAGGCGTCGATTTCAAAAACTAGGTTTTGTTTGTTGCTAAGGATTGCTATCGACGATTCCATGATCAACCCTGATTCCATTACCACCACTCAACTCTTCACAATGTTCTATGATATGGGGTACACTGAGGTTCTCACCACTCTCACAAAGTTCAAGAAATCATGCCTTCCTCCTCAGTGGAATGGTCTTTTTACCCTCCTCTTCAAAGGTTTATCGGAGAGGGTTGCAGGTTCTGATGGAGCGAGCAAGGCGTTCATGACCCTTCTCTACAGTGTGTACCATGGGTTCAACATGGACTTTGGGTCTATCTTATGGTCTCAACTGGTTCAAAGTCTTAGTTCTACTTCACGCTACTCCGAAATCTCTTGCGCTAGGATTTGGACTCTTGTTACTCAATGGGCGATGAAGAAGTTTCACGTTCCAACAATGGCAGACTCACTGATGCCGTCTATTGCTACTTTCCACACGATGAAGATAATTGTCTCCGATCCATCAAAGTTTCTATTTATTGGTTCGGTTCCGGAATCCATGTACAGATGTGTTTCCAGTGAAAGCAAAGTGATAGATGAGTACAAGAAGCTACCCCCTACAGGACCAAGGCAGCTTACACCCGAAATGCAAAGCTCGTTTAGACACAACAGATAAACCAGCAAAAAGAGGGAAGAAGCCTGAAAGAAAAGGGGAGAACGAAGGTCAATCCTCTAAAGTTTCAACTCCCAATAAGTGAAAGTCTGAACATGCCGCTCCTACCGCTCCAAAGAAACGCAAGACCAAGAAGGCACACAAGCCGAAGGCTCCTTCTTCAAGTGATTTTGACTACGTTCCATCTGGCCAACAGCCCGAACCAGAACTCAGTGATGATGATGTTTCTCAACATGAAAGTTCACTTCAAGGTAATTCGCCTCCACCCTCACCAGCTCATGAAGGTAACTAAAACTCACCTCTTCCTTCTCCTACACAATCGGTTCCTATTACTATTGCTCCGTGCCCACCTCCCATCTCATCCTCAACTACAACCTCAATTCCAATACCCACCCCTTTATTCACCGAAGTTACCACAACTACTACTACTATAACCGAACCTAATGGTCGTGTCAACGTATCTGATATGGGGGCACCTACTTTCGAATCTGAACCCCCAATTACCTCCAAACCTCTATCCCACCTCCCTCACACGAATCTGACATTGTTCTTGGAGGAGCAGAAATGGAATTTGATTATGTCTATTTTAGCCCATATCGAGTACAGAGCGATGATGATGATGACGCTCCTGTCACGAAGAGGCATATAAAGGATCTGAATAACAAGCTTGACCAGTTTCTTTCTTCTTCCTCTTCTACTCCAAGTAATCCATATTCTGAAGCTGCAATCAAGGCTCTGTTGGTAACCTTTGTCAAGGAGCATGACACTTCCATTTCTAATGTTGTCAAAGCTATAGATGCTTCCATTTCCACATGCTAGAAAGCTTCTACTACAGTTGAAGAATCCACCAAAGATAGCAAGCAAGCGACCGCAAACGTCGAAAAACTAATTTTTGATGCTCAAGTTTTTCTTGATTCTCTTCAGGCTGCAGCTCAGAAGAATGCTCAAATGGTGACTGCTTCTGTTGATAATCTTACCATCTCGCTTCAAGCTGAAAATAAGCACTTTGAGGAGACACGCCAAGCTATCAAGTCTGCCAACACCGAGCTTCACAGATCCGTTGATGTCCGTCTTACTCAACTTGAAGCCGAACTAGCCGTGGAAAACAAGATAATGGATGAGCTAGATCGTCGAACTGCCCAGCTTAAAACTTAGAACTTAAAGCTCAAGACGGCGAACAAGGAAATTGATGAACTTAAGTCGGAGCGAGCAGTCATCAAAATTTATGTTGGTGATGTGCATTCTATTCTTTTACATCTTCTGGACGCACATGACTCGGTCCTTACAATCTCGGTTCGACGCCACTCGGCTGAGAAATTGAGACATGCTCTAGACATTCTAAGTAGGATTGAAGGTGTTCTGGAGACCGTTGTCCCTCCGAAACAAGGGGGAAGAGATTAGCCAGGATCAACCACAACAACCTCCAATAAGCAAACCCATCACCCAACCAAAAGTCACTGCTGAACCGAAGGGTAATGAAGCTTCAGGCAGTATGAAGGACAAACGAAAGAAGAAAATTAGTGATGATGATGATGTTGAAATCGAAGATGTGGTTGAAACCGACCAAAAAGCTTCCAAAACCGAAAACCTTAAAATCAAGCCAACTGATCGAGAACTTGAGGAAAAGCTTCTTAGAGCAAAGGAAGAACATGAAAGGGAGAGGAAACAAAAAGAAGCGAACGATGCTTTAGAACGAAGGAAATCTATGTTCCCTCTGCGGACAATTGAAAGGCTTCTGAAGGAGGTAATTGAATCTCCAAGCACACATTGGCTCGAACCGGTCCTTTCATTCGATCTTGAGAATTCCAAGGATTCTCAATTTGATATGCCAATCACCCGAAAGGCGTTCATCTTTCATTGTTTTGAGTCAACAGTTGTCATCCACTCTCTTGACCCGAAGGTTGATCGAGACCTAATCGAATACTATCTTACGTTCTCACAACCGCAATATCTGACTTGGAGTAAACAAAAGATCACAACAGTCAAGGTGTTGAAACCCACTTCAGCAGGGAAGTTTATCAATGTCAAATTCAAAGTGACCCGAGTCTCAGACAGTTCGGTTCACATGATCTCCCTAGCTGATCTGCCAAAATTGAATCCTCATGACTGGATTCTCCTGAACAATATTTTGTTGACTAATCAACAACAATATGAGCCTATCGTTGATCACATTAAGCGAATGTTGGTGTGCTATATTCTTGAAGTCGCAAAGATGGATCAGGAAATCGCCTCTCCCTTGAGAAGGAAGCCCACTATCAAGCCAATAGGAAAGGCAAGCGACATCAACGAGATGATGAAGGGAAAAATCGACCCACAGTTTCATACAGTCATGTTCATCAGAGGCGAAGGTCAAAAATGCATGTTCGCTCTCGTTGACAAACACCTGTTCTCCACTTCCTGCTTGGAGCATATTCTCGATATCATACACAGGTGCAATCAGAACAGTGAATCCGATAAAAAGATGTTTTCATATATGCTTCGGTGGTACATTAACTTTCGTCAAACTCTTCTTGCCATCATACCATAGTTGTTCAAGACTGTGAAGAAAATCACTGTTACTCAACCGAAGTAATCTATCGCCTCAATTGGCGCAAAGGGAGAGATTGTTGAGTCTATGGGTTGCGCCATTCGGATTTATTAGTTCGTTCCATATGTATTCACGATTTGGGCATGTCCAGCCGTGTTTTGTTATTAGGGTTTAGTATCTATAGTGCATGCATGCATTATATTGATGACGCTTCTTGAATATTTTCTTTGAAAAGTATTGTAACCCTAGCATGCCTCTAAAGTAGAAGTTCTTCATCGAGCTCTTCTGAGGTCTTGTTGTTTTAATCATTCGACATCCGTTTGATTCATTGTGTGTTTGTTCTTTGGTTTGCTTTCTGTTTTATTTGTTAAGAATCTTAACGATCTTAAAGAGTTTTCAACTCATCAAGAGTGTAGACAAACTTCTTTATTACCCTTGAAATAAATCATGTACTTAAATTACTTGCACTGAAGCAACAATCCCTTGTTCACCAAACTTGGCTGCACTTCCATGACTCAAATGTTGAGCATGTTCAATCTGCAAAAAAGGGATTTTACCAATTCATGGAAACATCTGTAAATTACACTACCATTTATTAATTACTGTGATTAAGACTGATGTCAAATGATTTATAATAGTTTCATTTTTAAATAACATATACCCTAAATCTCTGATCCCTGTTCCCATTTGTTGAAACAACTGATTTATACATATCCAAGATCAAGTCATTGGCCTTATCTCCAATAGCATGAATAGCAACCTGATGAAAAAATTGCTCAACTAGTAAGTTATTTTACATATTTACAACCACATTTTTAAAGATAAATGAAAAAAATAAAAAAAATATACCTTGAGGCCATATTTGTCGGATTGAACAGTCATATTAGATAAGCTTTCCATATATGTAACTTGGAGGCCAATATTCCAAGGCTCATCAGCATATGGCTACAAGAAACATGAAAGAAATGTTATCTCATAAATAATATTGATTTAATAACAATAAGTTAGAAAATAAATAAAAAAATAAAATTTATTTACACCTTGTGAAAAATTGCACTGTTAGATCCTAAGGATCCATCAGAAAAGGCTTTAACACCACCTAAGAATATCCACTGGCTCAGCCTACGTCCTGTTTTTTGTATTATATCCTAAAAAGAAAACAAGAACATCAAATTTAATGTTAACATTTAATTCATTAGAAAACGTAAACATAGAAAAATTATCATGAAGTAGTTAGTAGTCAAGTAAAGTCATACAAGCAAACGTGACCATGTTGGCGTTGGAAAGAAAAAGGCAAACCCTGATCATCATTATTACTGATAAATAAGCCCATTTGTAAACATCTGAAATTAACAAGAAAGTCAACACTTTATTTTATTGATTTAACCATTAAACTATTTTATTTTCCTTTGCCTCCAAAATCCTCTTATGTTAAAATTGATGTACATTGAGTAAACTGTTTCTTGGAATGTAAGGGTAAAATGGTCATTTCAGACACTAAACCTTTAAAATCCTCCCATGAATGTTCTAGTGATGATCCAGGAAAATATCTTCCAAAATCAACAACCGTTGTGACACCCCTCATCAATGCATACCTACTAGCTCTATCCAATGCTTGCCTTCTTTCTTCAACAGAAACTTCCGGAATGCATGAAAGAACAACTTTCATTGCAGAATCAATCATAAGGCCTGAAGGTTCTGCATATAATGATTCAAAATACATGAGTTTACAAAATGAATCCAAGAATATAATAATCATATATAAGATTATTATACCTCCATTTGCATTTCTGCTAATAGTTACACCAACTGGATCTTGCATGTTACTTGTAACTCCAACTAATTTTAGAGCTAAAGAGTTAGCCAATCCCATGTGGCCATCCATTCTTGAAAGCTACACCTGTCAACATTGAAAAGACTAATTGTGATTAAGTGGGGTTTAATTACAGTTTATGTAATTTGTATTTAGTTTTTTCTTACAGGATGATGAGGTGTAATATCATCAATCGAAGAGGCTGATGGCAATTCTCCTCCCCAAAGATCATTATTCCATCCACCACCCAACAACCAAGAACCTTCTTTCATGTCTATAAAGATGAAAAGAGATGTATATCATGTGGATCCCATAACTGTATGTACACAACTTCCAAAATGTCCAGAGTGAAACTAAATTGAAAATACAGAAAACACTTACTTTTCACTGCTTCTTTAACCTTTTCAATGAAGTCTTTTTTTTGTCTTCACACCTTGAACTTGTACCCGTGCCATCTGTTTTCACTTCTAACTCAATCAGCATATCATAGTTGGAAGTACATTAAGAATTAAGTCTTGAGAATTTGAATTGTTGATGAAATGAGTTGAGGTGGATATAAGTGATTAAATTGAAGATTGGAAGGAAGGATGTTTGGTTAACTGTGATTATTGTGGAGATGAAGTGAGAGTAGGAGGCAAAGAAGAAGAATGAGTGAAGCTGAGACGAGGACGCGAGTATTCATGGCGAGAGAATCTTTTTAGTCGATGACTTGAGCTCTTTGGGAACTAAAGTGAAAATAGTAGATGCAGTGGCTCATTTTGTCATTTTGATTTCCTAAGCCAAAGCTAAAAGTCAATAAGCAAGGAACAGTGGACTGGATCAAAACTTGTGCCTTCATAGTATATGCTCCAATCCTCCAATAAGCTCATATCCATAAGCTCCATAGATTGGGATGAAATTCTCATATTATACCTTATGGACTGGATCAAAGCTTTATGTCCCCTCAAGAGTGATGCCCTTGGATGTCGCCCAGGTCGCACATGGTCTGGGTCGGCCCTACCAACGCTAGCATATAGATAATGGTGGGGAAGCCGGTAAATGATGGTGAAGTCGACATATCTAGGTTATTAATCATCCACCCATTCTATAGTTTGATTTGCTTTTGTAAGCATCTGAACAAAAAACCCTAGAACTTGGGAGGATGAATTTGAAGCGGGAGATATGAGAGAACATAGATGAAGAGAAGAAGAGACGCGTAAGAGCCCGAGTTCACCGACGTTGCGAAGCTTTTTTGTGGAGCTTGTGTGGAATGATTTGTGAAACATCTGATGAAGTTTTTCAAGGCTTTGTGAGGGTTGAAGGTGCGTAAAGACTAAAGCTTTCTCGATTTTGTGAAGATGGTGGAGGCATCGGTAGAGAGTAGAGGGGCTGAAGATGGTGAAGAATTTGCTCTAAATCGTCGGTATGAGAGGAAGAAACAGAGACGTATAGTGTTGACGACTCCAGATACAAAAAGGTAGCGGTGTGGATGGAGAAAAGGTAGATGAACAACTACCTTTAAGTAACCAAAAGAGAAGAATCGAGACCTTCTTCTGCGTCAATCGGACGTACAGCATGTAAGGAGAAGGGATTTTCGAATGGTGGAAACAAGGGAGAGAAGAACACAAGGCGGGGTTTTTAACTTTTGGGATTTCCTTTCCCCCTTTGTTTTTAATGAGAACGCGCGTTTCCTAAAAAAAATTATAAAACGACATACTTATACGACAAGCTTTTTTTGATAAGCGCCCTCCGTGTTTTTTTTTGTGACACAAATTTTAGGGCACGCAAAAATGCGCGTCCTAAATTCTTCAAATTTCTAAAGATCTGACATTATTTTTAGGGCACGCACTTTTGCGTATTGTTAATCAGTGCGTTTCGTAAAAAGCGTGTCATTAAAGGTGTTTTTTCTAGTAGTGAGAAACCATTCCTTGGTCCTTCGAAGGTACTTAAGAATATTCTTGACTGCGGTCCAATGTGCTCTGCCAGGGTTTCCCTGATATCTGCTGACCATGCTCAAAGCGAAGGCCACATCAGGGTAAGTACAAGCCATAGCATACATGATCCAGTCAACGGCAGAAGCGTAAGGTACTCGGCTCATGTCTAACATCTCGATCTCTGTACTCGGGCTCTGAGTCTTACTCAGTTTGGCATTGCTTTGGATTGGTAACTCCCCTTTCTTAGAATTCTCCATACTAAAACGTTTTAGTACATTATCCAAGTAAGTATTCTGACTAAGTCCTATTAGTCTCTTACTCCTATTTCTCACTATCCTTATTCCCAAAATATAGGCAGCCTCTTCGAGATCCTTCATAGTGAAACACTTCCCAACCCAGGACTTAACCTCCTGCAGGGTCGGGATGTTGTTTCCTATGAGCAGTATGCCATCGACAAACAATACGAGGAAGATAACTATACTCCCACTGGCTTTGACATATACACATGATTCATCCTCGCTTCGCAGGAAGCCAAACTCTTTTACTTTCTCATCGAAACAAAGATTCCATCTGCGAGACGCTTTCAATCCATAAATGGATTTCTCAAGCTTACACACTCTATTAGGATGCTTTGCATCGACAAAACCCTCTGGTTGACTCATGTAAACATCCTCAGCCAACTTCCCATTAAGGAAAGCGGTTTTGACATCCATCTGCCATATTTCATAGTCATGAAATGCAGCAATGGCTAGCATCACCCTAATAGACCTTATCTTCGCAACTGGTGAGAAGGTCTCATCTTAGTCAACTCCTGGAGTTTGAGTAAATCCCTTCACAACCAATCACGCCTTATAAGTGTGTACTTTCCCATCCATGTAGGTCTTCTTCTTGAAGATCCACTTACACCCGACCGTCTTACGACCTGGCACATTGTCAACCAAATTCCAAACTTGGTTGTCATACATGGACTGAATCTCGCTGTCCATAGCCTCTTTCCATTTTGCAGACTTCGGGCCTGCCATGGCTTCCTTGTAGCTGTTAGGTTCATCCAAATTTATCATTGTATTGTCACTAATAAATGTATCACCTTCACTTGTTATATGAAAACCATATAACACAGGTGGAACACTAACTCTACTGGAACGTCTAAGAGGTAAGGACTCGTCAATTGGTTCAACAGGAGTTTCCTCCTCAGGTTGAGCGCCAGTGTTGGAGGTTCCTTCATCGTTTGATTCTTGAAGATCTTCAAGATCGATTTGCCTCCCACTGTCTCCTTGGCTTATGAGTTCTAGTTCTCGGAAAACCCCTCTCCTCTCAACGAAGACAACATTTTCACTCGGTCTGTAGAAGAGATATCCAAAGGACTTCTGCGGGTAGCCGATAAAAGTACATCGCTCACTACGAGGTTCGAGCTTGTCGTGAGTCTCTCGTCTTACGAAAGCCTCGCAACCCCAAACCTTGATATGTGCCAACGAAGGAGCTTTCCATGTCCACATCTCGTGAGGTGTTTTGGCAACCTTCTTCGTATGGACTAAGTTAAAGATATGGGCGGCAGTCTCTAAGGCATACCCCCAAAATGAGATAGGTAGCAAAGCACGACTCATCATGGAACGAACCATGTCGAGCAAGGTTTGATTGCGCCTCTCAGCTACACCATTCAATTGCGGTGTCCTAGGTGGCGTCAATTGCAAAACGATTCCGCATTCCTTGAGGTAGTCGTGGAATTCAAGACTAAGATACTCTCCACCTCGATCAGATCGAAGCATCTTTATTTTCCTGCCCAACTGATTCTCCACTTCCTGCTTGAATTCTTTGAACTTTTTAAAGGTTTCTGACTTGTGTCTGATTAAGTAGATATAGCCATATCTGCTATAATCATCGGTAAAAGTCACGTAGAAGCGGCTTGCATCCATTGTGGTGGATCTAAAGGGTCCACATACATCTGTATGTATGAGATCCAATAAACCCTCACCCCTTTCACAAGAACCAGTGAAGGGTGACTTGGTCATCTTTCCAAGTAAAAAAGACTAGCACACGTCACCGTCCCTAAGGTCGAATGACTCCAACACTCCATCCTTTTGGAGTTAGGTTATGTGTTTCTTGTTGACATGTCCAAGACGACAATGCCATAAGCATGCTTTATCCAAATCATTGGAAGAATCGATATGCATTACATCATTTCCTAAATTTTCTACAACCATTACAGTTTCATATATTCCATTACAAGGAAATGCTTCAAAGAAGAAAACACCATTAAGATAAGCATTAATAGAACCCTTTTCATTATCAAATGTATATCTAAATCCTTGTCAATACAAACCATGAAAAGAAATGATGTTTCTAGCCATTTCTGGCGAATAGCAACAATTATTCAACTCTAGTCCTAACCTACTACTAAGCACTAAAGAGTAAACTGCAATCTTGGTGACAGGCGACAATCTTATGTTTCCCATGATAAGGTTTATCTTCCCATGCTCCATATCTCTATTTCTTCTTAGGCCCTTCAAATCAGAACAAATGTGAAAACCACATCCTGTATCAAGAACCCAAGAAATAGCATGCGATCAGTCATTAGATTGAATAGTCTAAATACCTACGTAGGATGGTTTGATCTTTCCATCCTTAATGTCCTACAGATACTTCCGGCAGCTTCGTTTCCAGTGCACTTTGTCGTGGAAGTGATAGCATTCTGCATCCTTTGGGTTAGAGGAGGGGGCAGTGGTACCAGCTTTGGTTCCACTAGAAGAGGTGCCATCGTGAGACTTCCCCTTATGGTGGATCTTTGAAGGAGCCTTCCTCTTCTTACCCTTTCCTTGCCCAATAGCCAAGACTGGGGCAGTTGTAGGAGTAGGAGTTGGTGCAACGGATTTGTCCTTGAGGTTGCTCTCAACAGTCCTCAATAAGCCTTGAAGCTTGCTCAAGATGACCTCCTCTTTGGTCATGTGGTAGGTCATGCGAAACTGGTTGAAGCAGGGCGGCGGCGAATGAAGAATGATATCACTCGCCGGCTCTTCATCGAAGTTAACATTTAACTTCAGCAAGTGGTCGACATACCTCTGCATTTTCTGCAGATGAGCAGTGACAAAATCTCCGTCTCTCATCTTCGCCGTGATCATCGAAGTGATGATCTCGTATCTTTCCTGCCTGGCACTCTAGTGGTACCTGTCCTTTAAATCCTGGTGCATCTCATAGGGATAGTAGTCCTCGTAGGACTTTTGGAGTTCAACAGTCATGGTCGCTAGCATGATGCAATGGACTTTCGTGGCATCACGCTCATGGGCCTCAAAGGCAGCGATCTCCTCTGGAGTAGCAGTGTTGACATTCACCTCCTTCAGCTCCTTGTCGAGGACATATTCTTT